CACATTTGCATCCAGACAGGAAATTTGGTAAAATAACCATGGTTTTCTCTGTTGTATGCTACCAGAGAAAAGGTTTCAGGCAGATTTGGCACCAGATATTTTCCCGTAACTCTCTTAAGACACTAATCACCAAAGCCCAGGTTTTCTCACTAGCAGAGGTCAAACAGTCCAAATGACTTGCAGAAAACAAATCTGCAAACTAGAAAATAAGTTCCACATCTCAGACTCAAGGATGTTTTTAAAGCTTTACAAATGGCTAACAACCAGCTAGTAATTTCACATTCCCCTATAATTCAGCCTAAATCCCAAAAGAACCTTTACCTTGGGTACCTGGGCCTGTCATTTGTTCCCCAGCACAGGCATGCACATTCAGATAAAACACACTTACCTAAGAATCATCACAGACAGTCAAGATGTATCAGACCCAAAGAAAATCAAACCAAGTCAAATTACTGAGCTGAAGAAGTAGAAATTTAGATATAGTTGTGAAGAATACATTTCTTGTTTCCTAAAACTATTGCAGTACTAAATTATCACTTCCCCTTAGAGATACATAATGTATGTTAGCACCTGACAATGATGCCTGCTAGCTGATGCCTGCAAGCAGTTGGTGCCTGCAAGTTGAGGCCTGTAACAATTAGTGATCCATTACACCTTAAATATTAAGAAATTATTTTACCAAACAATGTTTAACTTTGTCTTTAACAATGCCTGAGTGATTAAAATGTACAGAGAAAATATCCTGACTTTGAGAATAGATACATCCTGTCAAAAATGCTCAAACAAGGCAGATAAGAACATCTTGGCTGGACAACAGAGTTGGGAAACATCCAAGGAGAAGAAATTGCCTTCAAAAGACTCATGACCATAAAAGGGAAAAAGGAGCAGAGGGCTAAATCCCCAAATGACCACTGATGACAAGGTGGAGACTTCTTGGAAAATGTATGAATATTCATGTCTTTAAGGTATATAGAGGATGAACTTTTGTTTTAGTGTATCCAGCACTGCAATAAAGAATGCCTGCTTTCTAAAATGCTAAAACGAGTCTTAGAGAGTTCCTCTGCCAGCTTTTACCCTAACAGCAGTGCTCAGGAATTAATGCAAACTCAGGCTGATTTTGCAAAACAGTGGGTTCAGTACTTCACAACAAAGATTGTTGTGTTGCTTCTCCTAAGGCATTGCCAGAGACTCTGGGGACTCCAAGTGAGTAACAACACAAGTAAGAATTAGGACAGGTCAGTCAGAAGCTTTATTAACTATGGCCATGGTGAGAGAACACTGCGACAGCATCTCCCCCTCTACATCTCTGTCAAATGATTGCAGAGACACAAACTATAGACTGCTTCAGGAGAGGAAAAAAAAAAAAAGAGAGGTTTCATCATTTCAATATTAATAAAGCCAGGTATCCATCCCTGAGAGGTATGGACTCAAGTAGCTTGCTAACTACCACAATTCAAAGAAATGAAACAGTAACTAGCATAACAGTGTGGGGAGACAGCTCTTTGTGGAGCCCATAGGAGTGGCACACCCCTATTACCCTAGCTCAGAAGTGGGGAGTTGGAAACTATCACAGGCTGTTAGCTTTCAGTCAAAATGAATGTTCTTATAGTTAGGATAAACTTCTTAGACATCTTAATTTTACCACCACAATGTAAATCCAAGGAAAGGGCACTTCCAGAAAATATACCTCTATTAACTCATACTCTTTCAGTAGCACGCAGTCCCCCAGTAATTTCTGTTCCCTGTAGTGGAGAGGAACGAGAAACACTTCACTGGCTGCTATCCTGTCTCTGCATTACATCCACAAGCTCAGCTGATGTGACAGTAAACACAGCTTTTTAATTAACAAGTTTCTTTAATTTCAAAAGGTGCCCTCTAAAGGACTCCTCTAAGAGGAATTGCTGAAACAATTCTGTACCGCTGTTTGACATTTTTGTGAGTAACATGAATGAGAAGCAAAACTGAATCCTCCTCCTACAGATACGTGTAAATGGGCAGCAGAACAAAAGAAACAAAAATTATTTGGAATACATAGTAAGGGAAGAAAAGGGAGGCAAGGTCTTTAAAAGGCACTCACTGAAAATAAAACAACTCTTCTCCCACTGTAAGTCATTAGTAATGAAAGCTTTGCAAGGAGAACAAGGTTAGAACCATGTTCAGTGCATTGCAAAGTCCCAGAATTTTATTCACAAGCAGACACCATCCTGGGAAATAACCATCTCTCATTAAACACGATCATGTATTCTGAAAACACTAATTGAAGCTTTTAGCATGCTGACACCATAAGTGTCACGTACACCCATACACAAAAAGCGTGAGAGATGAAAAGGAGTTTCCTCTTACAAGCACAGACCTGGGCAGCAGGAAGGAGTTCACTTCACCCCTCAAGTCATCTAGCCTTCAGAAGGTTCAAGACCCCCTGCATATTTTCATGTCTTGATGTTACTCTCAAACAACCACCAAGCCACTCTGCAGGCCATGGTACTCACTTCTGAAGTCCAGAAGGGGCTCTCTAGAGGCTTCCTGGAGGGGACATACAGTATTGTGTCACAACCTCCCACAGCAGAAGATACAGCTCACTTCCAGAGCTGGGCAGAGGTCAGCCACTTCCAGCTGCCTTCACAAGTCAGGCAGAATCAAGACATAAGGCAGTAAAACAAGGAGGCCTCAGCCAACACTGCCCTGTCCAGCAGCGGCTGGATAGATGCAGCTGCAAGACTCGCAGTTCCAGGCATTTCTCCTGTTCTCTACTTCAGACACCTCCTAAAGTCTTCTACCATCTTCATCAGCTCAGTACCCTATACCCCACACATACTCTTCACTTCCCATCAGATATGGCTTCATTCATAGGTCCACAACTAATGGAGAATAAGAAAGATGATCTTTGACACACCTTTCTGTATGGAAAGTGTAAGGTCATCTTTATCCCATGCAAGGGAGGTGGGTGTGAGAGGAGTGCTTGATTCTTCTTGTTCCTATTTCAAAGGAGAATTAAGAAATTCAGTTCCCATAGCCGCAAGCCAAAGCAGACCCACACAAAGCAGTGTGTGGGATGAGACTCTCCCCCATTTTACTGTTTTTATCATAAAGACTGCTGTGAGTGTTCACCATGAGCTGAAAAGGAAAACTGTTACTTGCTTTAAAGCACATCCCTCACCTGCCCCAGCCAGCAGAATCCCCATTGCAGGCAAGCTGGTAGTGCTGTGTCAGTTGAGAAACATGGTTTCTCAAGGATGGTCAAAGGCTCCTCAGAGAGCAGCACTGCAGAACCTTTTTCAGAATAAATGAAACTTGGAGTATAACTGGGAGTTAGTGTCATACCTTAGAGACAGTCCCTTAATTTAAGGGGTAGAAGAGGGGCACTTGGGATCAAACCCAAAGAACTTTTTATTTCTATTTCCAAATCTCAGGCTGCCCCTCTTCTACAGTCCTAGCTGAAGGCAGAATGACCTAGTTGCTAGAGGTCTACACTTTAACATTCAGGATTCATGAGATCCATTTCCAGCTCTGATCATCTACTCACTGTGAAGCCTCCATTTTCAATATCATATGCTTGCTTTATTTTATTGGCAAAACACAGGCTAGCCCGAAGATGTTTCTCAGAGTACACATCTTTACAGCACTCAGAACAGTACTGAATCTCTGGGGCCTCTGCACTAGAGTTAGGCAGCTAGTTAGGTGATTTGCAGGATTAAGTATCCTCATCAGGTTAGGTAGGATATTCACTAGGCTTGGCTTCCTTTTACTAAGCATCTCATTTATTCCAGGGGTTAAATTTACAAGTCCTCAGAAGATGAAGAGTGATTGTGCAGAGAGAGGGTTTAAGCACTCGTGATAATCCTGACCTCTTTTAGTAATTGTCTGGAAACTACTTGCAGGAAAAGCAAGAGAGGCCAGATTCAAGGTCAACTCCTCTAACCCTGCACAGCAGACATCCAGCATCCAACATGTACCACCCCATTTTGAGAGAAAGAGACAAAAGGCACACAGACAGAAAAAAAGGAGCAGTGGAATCAGTCAGGTCAGATTTGCACATACTACATGAGGAACTGCAGCTATTTTCTACACATCTCATCTCTATCGTGTAGTAATAGGGTGCAAAGCAAAAGCCCCAAGACCTACTGCAAGCCTGCAGTTTGAGAAAAAGATGATGTCTTATTGATCTAATTACCCACAGAGGGTTTCTTATTTTATTTTGGAAACAAATACCTGTGTCTTTACCATATGCCAAAACCAGTAAGTTAATGGAAGGTGAATTGGAAAGCCAACATTCAACAGTCAGTCCCTAAAGAAAGGCTTCAGAGTGTCTCAAAGTAACAATACACAATTAAACCACTCCTTCACCCTGGGAAGGAGAAGGCATTAGCTGCCTGTGGTTCTGTATACACAGGTTCTGCCCACTGGAACACAATGAAGAAAACTTCAGTTTGAGTCTGGGGAACACGTCTATAATGATCTTCTAGAATAAGAAGGCATGAAGGAGTGAAGGTACAAGTTGACAAGAGATTTTCAAGAGGGGAAAACAACATTTATAAACCTTCATGGCCAAAACCAAGTTTGTTCTCCACAACGATACTCAACACAGATCTCTTCTCTTTGCTGTAAATGACAAAATTCCCAACAGTAACTGAACAAGAGTAGTCATAAGGATACAGTGCAATTGGAAAGACAAAGCAGAAGACACTTGTGACTCATGGCCCTCTCTTCCCTTTTATAAAAAGGCAGCGTAATGCCAAATAACAAGATCTGCCCTGATACCATCTGCACTTGCCTCTGTTTTGATGCATTTCCCAAACTGAGCAGACCTGTCTCCCCACCCATGCTGCTCAGCTTTAGTTTTCCAGAGCCAGCAAATATTATTCAGCATCATTACTGTGTTACTACACATGATCTTCAGCTCTGTTCACAGCTCTAGAGCAATCAACACAAAGCAGCTTCTATAATCTTCTCAGTCCACCAGCCTCAAGACAGTTTGAAGCTCACATAAAAAGCAGACTTACCTGGCTTGCTTCCTTCATAGTCATGCCCCAGTTGGCCTTTGGTGTTCAAGCCACAGGTATACACTTCTCCATCTTCCAACAGGAACACGGAGTGGTTTCCTCCACATGCCACCTCCTTGACATTTCTGTCATGAATGAATCCATACACCTGTGGTTCAGGAACAATGACCTGGAGGTTGCTACCTATCCCAGGTTGTCCAAAAGACGAGTAACCCCAGCATAGCATTTTCTCTCTTTTCAGCAAGTCATGTATCCTTCCTGGGCAAAAGAAACATGGGAAGGAATGTGAATGAAACAAGTACTCAAAAGTGATCCTAGAGCGATAAGCTGCTCAGAGCAAGAGGTGAAAACAACCAAAAGAGGCATTTCCTGCACGACTGTCAGGTTTATGGACTGCCAGTAAAAAGGGATTGCCAGCAATATACATACAAACAAAGAGGAATCAAGACAGCTCAGCTCAGGTACTGAGTCAGCACCTTCATGCCCGTGCCATCTCCATCTGTAAAACAGTAGAACTGTTCTGAAACCCAGCAGACCTGATTTTTTCTTTCAGCAAAATCACTCTGCTTCAAAAAACAAAAATCAACCAACTGCCCAAATCAACTGTAATGCTTTTAGACTAACAGGTCCAAACTTTTAGTTATAGTGTTGTATTTGGGACCACTGCTTAAGGAAATCTTTAAAAATTCTCAAAAGTGATCAAACTGAACAAATCAACATAGGTACCTGTGGTGTACTGGCCAATGCAGAACTCTATTATTTCTGATAAACTCAGATAAAGTATTTTGCTGAACTGAACACATTCCTGCAACCCAAATATGTGCATATGCACATACACACACCCCTAAACTGCAGCAAGAATTTCCCAAGAAGCAGCAGTTCATATGGAGCAGCACACTGACAGCTTGGCTCCAACAGCAATGGACAGATAACACTGATGAAGCTTGCCAGCAGTCAGGTGTTATCTTCCGTGCTGCACTCAGCGAAAGTCAGGAATTCCAGAGAGTAGGATAACAAGGGAAGGGGAAAAGGCATAGCAATACAAAAGGCCCAAGGAATTACTCAGCCTGAACTTGATAATGACAATGGGATGCTAATGCACAAAAGCTGGGGGGGAGGAAACAGCTCTCATCCCAGAAGCATGTAAAAGATTTTAGTAACACTCCCTTGTCACTCCTAATCTCAATAGGTTTGGCTTATTTGTTAAACATGCTATACTAATAAGACATTGAGAACTCCTCTGCTTGAACCAGAAACCAATTAAAGCTTTTTTTGTAAAATGAAGAAGAAAGAAAAGAAAAAAATGAAAGATCTGAGACATCAAGTCTTATGACTCACCATGACAAGTTTTAAACTAGGCAATTTACAGCAGCAGCATTTACTATCTTAGCACAGAGTTGAAAAGCAAAAGGTAACCCTTGAAGCACCAAAGGTTCCTCAAGGAAACAAGATTCCTTCCTGGGCACATAGGAGATGCATACATTCGGTTTGTTTCCAAAGCTAATTTAAATTCTAAGTATTAGCAATAAAGCCTTTCCTAATCTAAGCTCCTAGGTAACAGGCGTTCATCTCTCACCCCACTATCCTTGCCTGTCAGCTGTGGTCATAGTCAGGTGTGATCCCTTCAAGGCAGGACTGAGCTGAATGGGGGAGGGAAAGGATTGGATTTTCCAGTTGTACTTCATCGGCAGTGTAATTTCCTACCACAAACCGTTTACTAAGATCCCTTATTAAGTGCTTTAAAGCATGCTATGAATCCCATTGCTCCTGTATAGCATAATTCATTCACATCCAGACATGGGCTTCACTGGCCAGCTCCAAAGCACCCAGAAGAAAAAGCAGGAGGTTACAAGTCTCTGTCTCGTTAAATCAGTCGTTGTGTATGCTGTATTTGGTTGCCCTCAGCACAAAAGCCTGATGGAATATACCCTCTATGCTGTCTACACTATTTCCTATGCTAAGAATAGGAATGCCGTGGGACACAGTAAAATTGAAGTGCGTGCATGTGCTTTAAATGACACAACTGCTATATTTATAGCGAACTTCATGTTCTGTCTCGAAAAAAACACACACAGCATAAGCAGCCCACTGAAGGTAGCAACACTAAGGTAAGGATTAATTTCAAAACTGACATCTGAAACAGCAGAAATAGGGGACTGCCATCTCTCCCAGCCTGGGGAATTACCTTGTTACGAAGATATAAGCAGCACAATAGCAGGAAACCTTAAGATCCAAAGATCACATTCCCTGCTAGTATAAGTGGATGTTGCCTCCAAGCTGAAAAATTTCACCACTATACAACTTGCACTACAATGACATTGTACAACACGAGCTAAATATTAATTTGCGATATCTTTCTAAAAGGGTTACTGAACAGTCTGCTCCCCATAGACTACAGTCATCTTTCCTAGTGATAATTTCATTTAAAATGCTAAAAATACTTTAATTACTTTCCTTGTGTTCATATTCCACGCAAGGAGTTGCTGTGACAGGCAGGGGGATGCAACACAGTTGGTAAGATGTTTTTTCCTCCAGGTAAGACTATTTAAAACAGGAAGAGTTCAAGCTCCCAGTAATTCAGAATCACATGAGGGTGGTATTTCTGAGGAGTTCAACCCTCATTCATACTAGCAGCCAGATTTTCTGAAGCACCCTGAGGTTTACCAATCCCTATCATAGATAATGAGGCATGCCAGATCCTTTAGAAAAATGTGGGTTTAACTAAATTTTTGGTTAGTTTTTATAAGTCATCTCCATTGAATCCCACCCCTCCATCCTCCAAACATTTTGCTGACAAATCCCTGTGCAGCTCTATCCCAAGGGGACAGAGCAGCACTTTCCACACAAGAGCGAAAACCTACATAGCCACTTCCCATTTGAGTTTACAGGCACAGCTAAATACCCTCCAATGGCCTTGTGAGGCACATTTTTAATTTACTTATTTTGAAGACATAGCACATTTTTAAAACCACAACTGTTTTAATATGTGGTTGTTTCTCCCCCCCAGGAAAGCTGCTGCATCTCTTATGACATCATGCATTCAAGTAGAGGCTGTATCCTGAAACAAGGCTTCATATGACAATTTCACAGTCCATTTCCAGTTTGGTTAGTTACATTTCTTTGACATTAGCAAAGAAACTAAAAATGCATATTACACTGCAAACTACCTCCTCAAGCTGCATACCCTCCTTATACTAAAACAATTATATAAATATTCTAGTGCGGTCAGGCACTAACACAGACATGCATCTGCACATACACACACGTATATATTAAAAATATAGATAAAGGTTTCTATTCAATTAACTAAAATTTTAAAAGTGGCTAGTTATTGCTAGCGCTCAACTAGATACACATTTAAAAAGTTGAATGCTTCTCTTCAGAGGATAAACCCTTTGGGAAATAGTTTGGGTTTGTTTGGTTTTTTTTTTCATGCATCAGTTAGGGCATTAAAGTTCCTGGTCCCTTTTAAAAATTGGACTGAAAAAGTGCAAGAGCTGCAGTACCCAACCACATCACCCATTCCTGTTCTTCACAGATCACAACACAGCCAGCTTATATTCATGTTTTAGAGATAAGAAGAGATGTAACGCAGCAAAGCTGGTCATTTGCAGATTCCCCATATATAACAAAAAAAAAAAAGGGGGGGGAAGTAGCAAGGTATAACCCAACGTCCTCAAACCCCGACATTCCTGGAATAATTCACATCAAAACAGTGAAGGATACACAGCACTGCTAGAGATCGGAAAACATCACTCTGTGGGGAAATATTTTGAAGAAATCTATTGTGGGAAGAAGATCCACCCTCTGCTATAAGGCTCGGCTAACATACTAAGTATATACCCTTTGGTGAGAAAAGAACTCTCGTGGTTTGGTAAAATAATAATTACTGCATGTAAGATCATGACAGGACATGTTATATTTTGCCTTTATTTTTTCCTTTTTAATAACTATCATGACATACAGTCTCCTCACACAATCGTACAAACATATTCTAAAGCCGCAACTGCACCCTTTCTGGGAAAGTTAGTTAAGTAAATACTATGCTTGCAAACAAGCAAACACTCAAGGCTGGATGCTCTCTAAACAAAGAAGTCTGACAACTGCCAGGTCACGACGTTTTTTCCTTTCCTGTTGTTTGTGAGATTTCAACTAGCAAATGTGCTCCTTTTATCAGCATCACCCAATAACGAGGGCATGTACCGCTTCTGTCTACCCCTAAACCTCCAAGCCTACTTTCTTCTTCCGTTTGCCTTCGTTTTACTGCAACTTAATGTCCAGTGTAGAGCAGGCTAGAGAGCAGAATGGCACGGCATAACAGCGAATGAGTTAAAGCAGAAACAGAGCATCTCCACTGCATAACCGCATAGCCCCAGCAAGAGGTGTCCCCACAGAAAACATTTAAAATAAATAAAATTAAACAAAACCCACATCCTCTCCATTTTGCAATTCCGGTAAGAACACCTCCCTGCCTTCACCCCAGACACAGGCTTACTGCTGCTTCCCACTCCCCCTCCCAGACCGGCGCTCCCCACGGGCTTTGCGGGGCCCGGCGGGCACACCGCTCCCACCGCAGGGAGCCGCGGCAGAGGCCTCGGGCGCCCGCCGGCGCCCCCCAGCGCCAGCACCCCCCGGGGCAGCACACTCCCCTCACCTGGGGCAACACCCCCTGC